ATAATAATAAGACATTTTAATTCTTAATATGGTAAATATCAATTGATATAGACCACATAAACAAAAGTTCTTTGGGATCCTCAGCAATTTTTAAGAGTGTGAAGTCCTGATATCAAAAAGTTTGAGATCTTCTGCTATAACCTACTGAGTTAGTTCATGCTAGTCAGCCTACTGTTTGGTATGTATTGTGCTAAATTCTGGAGGCATAGTACAAGGTAAAAGACATTCCCTTGTCTCAAGGAGCATACAGTTTAGTGGATAATAATAGCTAGCATTTATATGGTGGTTACCATGTGTCAAGACCTGTGCTAAGCGCTTTACAATTATTATCTTATTTGGATCTTCACAATAACCAGGAAGATTTTGGTTATTGTTCTGATGTGTCTGACTCTTTGTAACCCCATTTGGGGTTTTCTTGGCAAAGATATTGTATGGTTTACCATTTCCTTCTCCTGTTCATTTTACAGATGAGGAAACTGAGGCAAACAAGGTTAAGTAACTTACCTGTGATCACACAGATAGGAAGTGTCTGAGGCCAGATTTTTGAATTCAGGTAGATGAATCTTCCTGACTCCAAGCTTGTCACTTTATTCACTGTGCCACTCAGCTACCCTTCTTATAGATGAGCAAATTGAGGCAAAACAGAGGTGAAATGACTTGCCCAAGGTCACACAGCTAGTAAGTGGCTAAGAATACTTTTGAAGAACACTTTTGAATTTGGGTCTTCTTGACTCCAAGCTCAGTGTTCTATCCACTTTGCCACCTGGTTGCCTCAGACTAAAGCACTCAGGCTTAGCTGCTGATTGTGGAACTTTGGGTGGGTCTTTCCATTCTGGATTCCTTCCACAGATCTTCTATGTGTAGTCTAAGGATAAGCAATGCAAGTCTACCTTGTAGGTAAACATAAAGATCTGCCAACATTAAGTGCTTAAGAAATGGTAATGCCTTTCAGGCTGTTACTTAATCAGGTCATGTGCTCTAGCATCCATGTTTTAAACCATCAAAAAAAAAATAACCTATCATACGAAGGAATGTGCTATGGGCTAGCATGAGAAAATGGTATGGCAGTCCAGGGGAGTGTTTTACAGTGTTGTATGATAGTACCCTGACAACCTCTATGAAGGCCTGCAGTGCTGGCATGGAGTACTCCATCGACGTTATTGAAAAGCTTTTATTTATTCATTCAAAAATGCCCATAAGTGTTTGCTATTCATGTCTGTCTTTCTCTGGGGCATGAGGCAAGGGAGAAGAATTCTCTGTACTGGGATGAGGGATCTGGAAAACAGGGTGGCTCCATAATGACATAGGTCCTTGCTGTCATTGGGGGGCAGTTAGGAAAGGCTGAGAGTGAGAGGAGACTGAGCCTCCCGTAGTAGGAAGGCTGAGTAGAAGAGGTAGCCATGCAGTTAGAGAGTTATTGGCTCAGGGCTGGATGGTACTGGTCTTTCTCTGTTGTTGTTGCTTCTTGTAGTTGCTATGACAACTTGGTCAGAACCATAGGCTCATAGCATTTAAATGTGAATAAATAGACATAGGATCATAGATTGTACTGCAAGGGATTGTAGAAACTGTCTAATCTACTCTGCCTCCCATTTTACAGATGAGGAGACTGAGCCTGAAAGAGGCTAAGTGGTTTTCTTAAGGTCACACTGCTGATAAGTGACAGAACTGGGATTCATTTTGACATTTTACTCATGAACACGCATCAGGCTATCAATAAAACTAATTACTAAATCAAACAAGGTAACAAAGTTGTTTTGATTTTGATTTTTTTTTTTTTAGTGAGGCAGTTGGGGGTAAGTGACTTGCCCAGAGCCACACAGCTAGTGAGTGTTATGTGTCTCATGACAGATTTGAACTCAGGTCCTCCTGACTGCAGGGCTAGTGCTCTATCCACTGCACCACCTAGCTGCCCCAAGTTAACAAAGTTTTGAGGTTAAATATGTTGAAAGAGAGGGACTAACAGTTTTCAGTATTTAGTTGTTTAAAGCATTTGCTGAAAAGGAAAAAAAAGCAATATTTTTAAATGGATTGAAGAATCTGTGTTGTTTCTCCATTTTTTCTTTTTAAGAAAAGGAGAAAAAGTCGTCAGGATAATTGAATGTGTTTCCCCCGCCTCCCCCCATCCATTCCATTGGCCAATTCAAGTTAATTATTCAGTAAACATTTATTAAGTACCTACTGTGTGCATAGATCTCGGAGATGGCAAAGATAGAATGTCTGTCTGCCTTCATAGAACTAAAGCTCAGGAGAAGGGCAGAGAGAAGATAGGGTGTGGACACAAATTGATGTTACTAGTTAATTTCATTGAACCACTCCCCACACCCCACCCCTACCTTATTGATCCTTGTTACAAAGGATGGCTCTCTGAGTAGAGGAAGTAAGAGGGATGTGTTTGAAAATGAAGGGAATTTATAAACAAATAAAAACTGAGGAAAAAAATAATTTTTGGAAAGAGGGGATGGGGTGGGGGAGGGGGTTGGCTTCATGAAGGAAGTAGTATCTGAACTGGCTTTTATGGGAAGAAAGGAATAATAAACAGAGATGAGGAGGGAATGTGTTCCAGGTACACAAAACACTCTATGAGAGTACACAGGTAGGTAGAAAAATACTCCTTGAGATGAACAAAGAACTGGTTGTCCATATTGTTTTGAATGTTACACGTGTAAAGGGAAGGAATGTGAAGTAGTATAGAAAGTTATTTTGGGGACAGATTGTAGAGGGCCTCAAAGGCCACATTATGGAGTTTGTATTTTTTTTTCCTGGAGGCAAAATGGCAACAATAAAGGCTTTTGAATAATGGAAAGTACTGATTTGTGTATTAGGAAGTTTATTTTGGTAGGTGTGTGAAATATGGATTAGAGTTGGGAAACGTACATGTTTTGAGATACATACATATGTATACATGTGTATATATATACATACGTATATGTGAAAACATACATATTCACCCAAATACAGTTGTGAATAGCTTGAGTGAGGGATGAAAGGTGGGCAACCAGAGTGTTCCACTGGTGCCCTCGAAATTTGGAGAAGGTAAGGAAAGTCTTTAGCACGTTGAGTTGATGCCCTTTGACAAACTTTTGGTAAGAGATGGACAATAGTTACACAGGAGAGATAGGAGTGGATAAATTGTGAGATGCTTTGTTTGAGGGAATTCCCAAATTAATGAGATCATAGATCCATTTGAGAATATGTATATGTGGGTTTTTTTGTAGATACATATGTATATATGTGTGTGTGCATTTTCATTTTGAAAGTAGTTGTGAAGGCTAGTAGCATATTATGATGGATTTGACAAAGCCTGGCTCTTTAAACACGATAGAGGGAAGAGGGAAGAGAGGGACTATTTTCAATTTTGTCTCTAAATTTTTATATCACTGTAGCTCCCTTTTGCTTCTGTTACTTCATTCTATAAAACAACCTAAAAAACTTATTGCTTGTCACTTTAAATTATGAAGGCAATTAACGCAAAACTTATTACGATACTAGGTAGTACAGTGGATAGAGTACTAGTCCAGGAGTTAGGGAGACCCAACTTCAAATCTGGCCTCAGATACTTACTGTGTGACCCAGGGCAAGTCATTTTACTTCTGTTTGCCTCAGTTTCCATATCTGTAAATGGAGATAATAATACCTCCCAGGGTTGTTCTAAGGATCAAATGAGTTAACCCCAAATGGGGTCACAAAAAGTAGGAGACAACAGAACAAAACAAAATGCCTAAAGAGGGTCAGATATCACAGTTATATGGCAGCTAAGAGGTGTGGTAGATAGAGCATTGGCCCTAGAGTCAGCAGTATCTGAATTCAAATCCAGCCTCAGACAGAGATACTTACTAGCTGTGTGATCCCGGGCAAGTCACTTAACACCAATTGCCTTAAAAAACCCAAGAAATTATAATAATAATATTAGGGGCAGCTAGATGGTGCAGTGGGTAGCCCTGGATTCAGGAAGACCTGAGTTCAAATTCGGCCTCAGACACTTGACACTTACTAGCTGCATGACCCTGGGCAAGTCAGTTCACCCCAGTGCCTTACCAAAAAAAGAAAAAAGGATCAAATGAGTTAATTATTAGAGAATGCTTAGCATGGTGCTTGGCACATAGTAAGCACTATATAAACATTAGCTACTATTATCTGTAAAATGATGATAATAATAGCAAAAAAACCCCCAGGGATGTTGTGAGGATCACATGAGAGAATAATTGTAGTGGTAGTAGTACTGTACTTCTCATAAAGGGATGTGGATTTCAGAAGTAGTGGTGGGCAGGAGAGAGGCATCACGGATGGAAGGTTGGCTTGGGAGTAGGATTCAAGTAGGTCTGAGTTCTGGCTCTGCCGCATTAATTGTGTGATAATGGACAAGTCACTGGCCTTCATAATTCCCTCAGAACTCTTATGAAGAAGTTGCTGAGGCATGCATTCATGGCAGGATTTTGTGTATCAGAAATGCTCCTACAGTATTGAATGATAGCAGCAACAACAACAAAAAATAACTAATGATAAAGGTGTGAAAGCATTGAATAGAGTGCTCAGCCTGGTCAGGAAGACTCATCTTCCTGAGTTCAAAGCTGGCCTCAGACGCTCACTAGCTGTGTGACCCTGGGCAAGTCACTTAATCCTGTTTGCCTCCGTTTCCTCATCTGTAAGAAGAGTTGGAGAAGTCAAGCACTCCAGTATCTTTGCCAAGAAAACCCAAAATGGGGTCATGAAGAGTTGGACATGACTGAAACAACCGAACAACAAAAAAACCCCTATGTAATAATTGATAAGGGCACCTGATTCAGTGCTTGGCATCCTATCACGCCTCCATCATATGCATTCTTTTCCTAGCCTCTCCTTTTTTGTTTTCTTCCTTACTTGCCTATACCTACCACTAGCACCCACAGCATAGCTTAGGGCGGAGCTTATGAGGACTTCATTGGTTTCGAGTCTTTATTTTGTTTTTCCTCGGACTTGCTTGTCTTCTGCCTCCGTCTAACCATGCTTTTTGTCTTCAGTTTGCAGCCGTGCCACGGGAGTGCTGTGTTGGGTATGGACACCTCTTCCCATGCGTGGAGGATCAGACCAGCTAGAGAAGTCCCCAAACCACACGATTGCTGAGCTGACTCTGAGATAAGGGGGGCGACTGTCTTAGGCCACAGAGCCATGCCGTTTGGGCTGAAGCTTCGCCGGACACGGCGCTACAATGTCTTAAGCAAGAATTGCTTTGTCACTCGGATCCGCCTGCTGGACAGCAATGTGATAGAGTGTACGCTGTCAGTGGAGAGCACAGGGCAAGAGTGTCTGGAGGCCGTGGCTCAGAGGCTGGAGCTCCGAGAGGTGAGGGTGACGACAAAGAACCACGATTGGGCTCCAGGCTCGGAGCATGTTTTTCAGTCTAAGCAATCTGTCTATGAGGATCCTGTTATTCTTAGCCATTGGCATGATTTTATCAGAGAGGTCTGTGAAACTCAGTGGAGGGAGAAACAAGGACACCATCTAGAGTTTTCTCAGTGTTTTGGTCCTCGTTTCTTTCCTCTGGGGAGAGGAGTTTTTCTCAGAGCTGGAAAAGAGAGGTCCTTTCCCCAGCAGATGGTTTCCAATATTGGAATAGTTGAGTAGTTTGGGGCTTTTGTTTCTGTTTTTGTACTTGACTTAAAAAATGTTGAGTATAAAACTCCTATGTCCGGGTTTATGACAGCTGCTTTTTGATATTTCAGTATTGTCCTACAAATTGAGGGAAGGTCACAATGACAAAGTGAAATGGTGATTTCATTTGTGGCAGCTTGTAAAATAGAGAATGGGAATTTTTGTTTCCTTGGGAGTTCTTAAGCGTACAACTTCTTTGTTGTTGTTATTCAGTTGTGTTTGTGAACCCATTTGGGGTTTTCTTGGCAAAGAGTGTTTTGCCATTTTCTTCTTCAGCTCATTTTGACAGATGAGAAAACTGAGACAAGTGGTGTTAAGTGACTTATCCAGAGTCACACAGCTAATAAATGTCTGAGGCCAGATTTGAACTCAGAAAGATGAGTCTTCTAGACTCCAGGCCTGGAACTCTATCTGCTGTGTAACCCAGCTGCCCTTACCTACAAGCAGTCCTCTCTATGAAATGCTTTCTTTTGGTCTTTTTTTTTTTCCTTTAGAAAACAAAACACAGTTGAAACCATTTATCTTTCTGATTATTTCTTGGAAGAGGTACTTCTAGCACCTAGAGTATCAAGTCCAATTTTGCTCTCTCCTAATTTTAAAGACTTCCAAGGAAAGATGTTATTAAAATGTCACTCTTGTTGACTGGGAAGGGGTGGGGAGTTCATGGCTTTGGGTGTTCTATGTCTGGAATCTGCACAGTAAACATAATGTCTTATTCTAAGCATGATTGTTAAAAGGAATGTCATTAAAATGCACAGTTGGATATTTGCTCAAGAGCCATCAAAGGTGAGATGACCTGATTGGAATGGAGACTGCAGTCTATAAAGGTTAAAAGGGGAGTCAAACATACCTGAGATGCTGACAGAAAGGTCACGCTCCAAGTGTCATGAGTGTTGGAATGAATATTCCACAGAGAACTCTTTTTAATATCACTTGTATCCATCCTAGCCATGCCTAGACAAGGCCATGTGTGGTTTACTGTGGGGAAAGAGAGCATGGTGGGTACAGGCTTGTTTGTTGGGTGAGGAGGAGAAGGAGGGTGGTGCCTCTTCTATTCAGTGTACATTCATAATCAGCAAGCAATCTGGCCCCATCTTTTTACCAACACTGCATAGGCTGAAGTGGCCTGTTTTCTTCTAGGCTGCTTTTTGTCCTTTTCTGACGTCTCCTTTCTGTTGATTTCTTCCCACATCTAAAACTTGCTCCTGGACCTAATGTTTTCATATCTAGCTCTGTTGATCAAAGTTGTCTTTGGCTTCATTTTAACTATTATAACCAGATTTTATAACATATAGGGCAAAGGAGAAGTTAATACTACATTTATGTACTCTAGCCCTGCATCCCACATTCATAAAGCATTCACTGCTAGGCAGAATCTTTTTACATTCAATTCACCTCAGTCCAAGTATTTATTAAGCACTGACTATGTGTCAGGTATAGTGGTAGGAAATGCTGGACAGGAGTGAAATAATCCTTGCCCTCTGATAGCTTTAATTCTACCGGGGATATAACATGCACACAGCTAAGTAAACACCAGGTGATTTAATGAGGGAGAGAACACAAATTACTAGGAAAGGAAAGACTTCACATAGAAAGTAGCTCCTGAACTGAACCTTGAAGGAAGCTAGGTATTCCAAAAGGCAGGAATAGTCAATACTCATTTATTAAGGGTCTACTCTAGGCCAGGCACTGTGTCAGGTGGCAAAGATATAAAGAAAGGAAAAAGATAGTCTCTACTCACACTTTGATGGGGATAAGGTGGGAATGCATGGTAGGCATAGGAGATAGCTATTTTGAAAGTATGGAGATGGGTATGTTAAGACTGTAGTTTGTTAGAGATTGACCTAGCAATCTTGTTTTTTTTCTAGCAGTGATTAATTGAGTACCTGATAGATTGAATGCCACTAAACAAACATAATTTTATGAGACAGAGAGAGATTGATTTAATAGAGACTATCGAATGTATGTATTGCCAGGTGATTTCCTAACTAGGGACAAACACACAAATACATAACATATGTGGAATGACTTACCAGAAAAATGACATATAATGGAACCAGACTCTTTAACAATAACTCAGATTGATGACCTTACTAATAGATCAAGGGAATGTCATTGGTATAGTTTGCTTAAAGTGTAGCAAAGCATTTGACTTGCTGTTCTTGTGGGCAAGAAGGAGAAATGTCATATGTACAGTAATACATCTAGGTATATTCAGAACTCGTTGAATGGCTTATTAATAGTTTGATGTCATAGGATTGTAGATTTAGACCTGGAAGTAACCTCACAGCCCATCTAGTCTGACCTCTTTGTTTTCTAGATGAGGAAGTAGGCTGAGAGAGATTAAGTAACCTGCTAAGGTCACCCAACTCTATGCTGATGATTTTCAAATTTTCTTATCTAGCCCTAACATCTCTGATCACTTCCTAGATTGAATCTCCAACTAATTATTGGTCGTCTCAAACTGGATGTCCCAGAGACATCCTAAACTCAGAATGTCCAAAATTGAAATCATTAACCTTCCTCTAAAGCCTCCCTTCTTCCTGGGGGCCACCTCCAGTCTTCCTGATCCTTATCTGGCCACTGGACCCACATGGCTCTGGAGGAGAGAGCGAGGCTGGTGACTCAGCACAACTCTGCCTCGCTTAAATCCAATTCACTTGCGTGTCATGGCATCAACTTTCTGATGTCATGGTTCTCTTTGAGGACAAAGGAAAAACAACAGCAACCACCATTCTTCCTAAATTGCCTGTTATGGTTGAGGGTATCTCCCAGGCTTGCAACCAAGGTGTCATCATTTACTGCTTAATCTTTCTCACTCACTATATACAATCAGTGGTCAAGTCCTGTTTTTCCTACCTTTGTCTCATATATGTCCTCTTCTCTTCTCTGACACTGCTATCATTCTGGTGCTTACACTTAACCTGATAGAATAACCTGCTGGTTGGTGTCGCTATAGTGTTTCTTCCCAGGCCAATCTTTCTTCCGCTCAGCTATCAAAGTGATATTCCTGAAGTGCATGTCTGACAATGCCATACCTCTGCTCAGTAAATTTCAGTGGCTCCCTGTCATCTTCAGGATCCAGGATCAAATACAAAATCTTCTTTTTTTGGCATTTGAAGCCCTCCATAACCTTCCTCAACCCCACCCAACCCCTAATCTTTTTATACCTTAGTCCTTCCTATGTACGATGAAATCTGCCGACACTGGCCTTGTTATTGTTAAATGAATTGTCAGAGGTCACACTGGTAGTGAGCTGTAGAGGCAGTATTAGACCCCGGGTGCTTTGATTCCCATCAGTGTTCAAGCTGATAATCTTGCTGTTCTGCCGAGGACCACATCTAGAGAACGGTGTTCATTTTAGTAAGGTCATTGATAAACTGGGAGCATCCAGAAGAAGGCAGTCAGGATAGTGAAGGTCCTTGACATTGTACCGTATGGGGAAAAGTTGAAGGAATTGGGGATATTTAGTCTGAAGATAAGAAAACTTAATAATAGCTTTCATGGAGGTAGCTATAGGTGGTACAGTGGATAGAGCACTATTCCTGGATTCTGGAAGACCTGTGTTTAAATCTTACCTCAGATAACTTATTAGCTGTATAACTCTGGGAAAGCCGCTCATCCTCTGTTTGCCTCAGTTTCCTTAATTGTAAAATGGAAACAAACAGTACCTACCTCCTAGAGTTATTTTTAAGATCAAATGAGATATTTTTAAAGCTCTTGGTACAGTGCCCAGAATGTAGTAGGTGCTTAATAGGTCCTTCCTTTCCTCTTTCCTTCCTTTCTTCCCTCCTTCTTTCCTTTACTTCCTTCCCTCTTTTCTTCCTTCCTCCTTCCCTTCTTTGCTTCCTTCTTACATTTGAAGTAATGTCATCTGGAGGAGAGATTAGTCTCATTTTTCTTGTCACTGAGAACAAATCTGGGGGCATCAGATAAAATTTACAAAGAGGCAGTGAGGATCAAATGGAGTAATATTTGTATAGTGTTTAGCATGGCACTTGGCATATAGTAAAGAAATGTTTGTTCCCTTCCCTTACTCTCCCTTAACAATTAGAGGCATCTAACAATAGAATGTGTGATCTCAGAAATTGGTGGGTTTCTCCTCATTAAAGATATTTAAATAAAAGGTGAGTGACTGCATGTTCAATATGTTGGAAAGGGAAGTCATGATCAGCTATGGATCAATGATAGTCATGAACTTGGCCCAGAGAGAGTATCCCATTTGCAGACACCAGAGCCACTCTGACGTCTGCTACTGCTTGCTGGGGAAGAATAAAGAGAGGAGAAAAGATGGATGAAAACAGCCAAGTAGTGTCTATACTCTTGACTACCAGAGAAAAGGATAGAGAGGAAAAAGGAAAGGTCCTTTGTTCCTTTGTCCATCAGGGACTGCACAGAGCAGGAAGCAAAAGGGAAGGACCTTCAGAAGATCTAGTTTAGAGATAGAGACATGATTGGAATCTGTATCCTCCAACTGTTCTTTCCTTTGCCCCATCTCACTTTTTAAAGCCTATAGTATTTCTAAATGGTCTCCCATACTCACCAATACTGATCCGAGGTCTAAGAAGATTAGACACATTTGGTGTGGTAAGGGTCTAACAACCATTTTAAAGACGTGGCCTTTTATAACTATAGATGCTACTGAAAAAAGAAGACTATTTTTTATTAGCAAGCACAGCCTTGAAGAAGAA